CCGGTGGGGGCGGTGGAGGTTGTCAGGTCCTTGGTTGGGGCTGAGAGGGGGGGGGGGTTAGAAGGGGTGAAGGCGTGTGTGTGTATGTGTATGTGTACGTGTATGTGTGTTTTGAGACCTAAGCAGCCGCACCACCCACCCATTTGTAAAACCCCGGTTCTCCCCAAACCCCCCGCCCTCGGGTGCCCCAACAGCCAACCGCCAACCGCGGTTCGGTCTTAGTGTCAAAGTCAAGGGTTCTCCTTTCCCGTCCGCCCTCCTTTTGGAAGGTTTAGGGTTCTTCCCTCCCTTTTTCCGTTCTCAATACCGGCGACTGGAACCTCACAAAGTACACATTCTCTCAACAGACATGCCCTCACTCATACATACATACATACATACGTACATACATACGTACTCACCCGCCGACTTCTCTGCACTCGCCGCCGCAATGACCTTGTACTTGTACGCCTCAAGCTCCATAGCTGCCGTACAAGTGATGAAGGTGTCGGACACGTCCACGTAAGCAATCGGCCCCGGAACCAGGAAGTTGGGCAGGTAGCGGGTGAAGGCCTGCGCCTCCGCCTCAAAAAAGTACAGCTGACCGTCGTACGACTGCACGCAGATGTAGTCGCAACCTGCCGGGGGAAGGGGTTTGCGTGAAGGGGTGGGGTGGGGTGGGGGGTTGCGGGGAATGTCCGGTTCTTATAGGCGATGAGATAATGTGAAGTGGCTGAAAGGCCGTTATAAGAGGTGGTTAAAGGAGGCGGTTAAGGAATCTTGCCTGGTTTATCGGTTTTCGAAGACCTTTCTCTTATCCCCCCCTCCTCCTCTGCCCCCCTCCTCCTCCGCTATCCCCTCCCCCACCAGTCTCCACTTTGACTCCCAATTCGTCAAGTCCCCCCCCGGGGTAACCTTCCCTCCAAATACACGCACTTGCAAACACACATACACGCACACCTTCATACACTCATCCAGCTCATACCCACACACACTTGCGCGTTAATTAAAAAATGTTTTTGCTTGCGTATACGCATGCGTTCTCGATTTCTTACACTTGTACGACCCTCTTCATTGTTCGTCGTCTTACACCGCTTTTATTTATTTCTCCTTTCTATTGCACTTCTCACGCTGTCCCCATCGCTTTGCACTATTTCGCTGTCATATTAGTTATCCTTCAACGGCGGCGCTTGGTATGCGTTTTATTTGCCGCTGCGGACCAACAACTTCCTTGCTCTCTGTTTTGCATGTGCCCCCGCCTCTGCCGCCTCTGCCACATGCGCCGCCTGGCGAGGTGAGTTCCTGGTGAGCCCCAGTCGGCGTACATAGTATACGGTACCTTCCTGCTCTTCGCCGCCTGCACACATACACACATACGCACACGCAACCCGTCCTAAACACCCCCAAACCCCCCTTTGTGAGAAACCCGGCCCCCCCTGCCCCCAGCAGTGTCTTCGACTTCAACTTTCACATCACGTAACTCCCTCCCCCTTCCCCCCACCCGAACCCCCCCACACACAGACACCCGTACGACAAACCCATACCCACCTTGCACCCCGTTGAAAGGCCCATACGTCATGTTAGCTGCTGTGTGTTCCAGCCAATGATCGTACAGCCTGGTGAGGTGCATGTACGACCCGCCGCCCTGGGAAACCACCGAGTACACGGACAGCTTGCGGGGGTGGAGTACGGCAAGCTGCAGACCCCCGGAGCTGCGGACGGGGGTTGAGGTGTGAAAGGGGGAAATGGGATATTACATGAGGACAAGTGACAGATTAAATTTGTACGGCAGGTGATTTGTACGGTGATAATTCTCCCCTCGCCCCATCCCCCAGGGTTCCGCTCAGACCCCTCTGGGCCCATTCCCATTCCCAGCCGCCATCCACCAGCACAGCAGAACCTCTATCCCTCCAGAACCACCCCCTCAAAACACACACACACACACACACGCGCGCGCTCATCCCTTCCCACCGCTACAGCCCAGCCTCCACTCCGCCCACCGCCCAAGCCCAGCGCTTGGTGCCTTATGGGACATGTGTCGACGCAGTTGACGCACTTTGCATCAATCATGCGATTTCCTCCCACTCTTCACCTCCAAAACCCAGCAATCCCCCCCTCCCCCCTCCCCACCCCGTGAATCTCCCGGCCGCCAGCGCCAACACCGCGCCACCCTCCAGCTCCGTCTCCAGCAGCAAGTCCTCGGCCTTGTAGCCCCGGTCTCGGGGAAGGTACACCCGCAGGTAGCCGGAGAAGGAGCCCGTAACAATCTTAACTGCGTGTTGTGAGTACGTATGTATGTACGTATATGTGTATATGTACGTGTGAAGCCGGGGGTGGGAAGGAGAAGGGGAGAGGGGGGCCCCAGAACGCGAGCGGGGCATGAAGGGGGGGGTAAGCCGGTGAGCGAACCAGGATTAGAGTATGTGTGTATGTGTGTGTACGTGTGTGCATGTGTGTGTATCTGTGTGTGTCTCTCACACAGGGACAAGAACGGGGGTATCTGAGGTTGACAAAGATGGCGGCGAGCTGGGCTCGGTGATGGCCTGGCACTAGACTGGTGTTTTGTGGTTGTGGGAATGTGAGGGATCGGCCGACTGGGCTGTGAGGCCGAGGCAGGGCGGGGCGAGGGGGTTCATCTTGATGGGTTTGCATTCCTCGGCCATCCCCCTCCCCTCCCCCTCCACTCCTCTGCCGCTGTTCGCTGGGTGAAGTGCTCTTTCTCCCCCTCCCCCCCGCTCGCATCCCCCCCAGGTGCCCCCTAGGAGGGGCCAGCAGCAAGTAGAGGGCCCACTGTGCAGCTAAACAAGAAGAGGGATGACGGGTGACGGGCCCGCGGCGCCCTACAGGTAGTACGGCATGTGCGTTTGTGAGTGTGTGTGTTTGGGGGGAGGGGGGGAGAGGGGGAAAGAGCAAACCCGTCCGTTGGGGAAAGATCACCGCGTGTGGGTATGGCCCTCAGACCTGGGGCGGGGACGATTCACCAGGGCCCCCTGGGGGAGTCTTTTGAGGTTGCGGGTCTTTTCTCATGAACCCCCCAAAACGTGAGCGGGACTCCGTTCCCGGAGTGGGGGTAAGAGATCCTAAACCATTCAGATTCTTTCCTCTCTTAAACACGGGCGACCATTGGATTGGGAGACGTCCTCGTGTCCTCCTCTTGTGTCCTCCTTTCCGAACGAGTCCCTTAGGCGATGTTTTTGATGCTGAGGTGGTGAATGTGTAAAAATCTGTAGATGTGAGGTTCGAGTGGTGAGTGGTGAGCCGGAGCGTTGGGTTGCAGGGACCTTTGCGTGTTTGGGTCGCGAGGGGTTATCGCTGGGTGCTTGCTTGTCGGACACAGTTTTGGTGACAGATGGATAGGACAATAAGGCGTGAAGGGCTGTAATTGTGTGGTTTGTAGTTCGATATGGGTAGTGATATGATAGGGAATCCTGTCAGCATGCTTGTTGGTGGCGTTTTTGCTTGGGTGATAGGGGCTGATGGGTGGACGCCCCCTCCATCGATGGAGACCTTGCCCTTCTCTCTTTGACGGTGCCCCGGTGGCTAAAGAACAAATCCTGCCGCTCGAGCTTACCCTGTCCGGTGGGGTCGTTGTCAACGTTTGCCACAAGCAGGCAATACATATCGAACTCCTCGCCATGTCCGCACTGCGTCTGCCACCAATCGCGGGCCTTGAACAGCGACATATTTCCGATGAATCAATATGATAGTAGCTATTCAGAAAACTCCTCTCAGCAACTCCTGACTGCTATTCGTCCTTAATTCAGGGTCCCAGCAGGCAGCCGGCGCCCTGAGGCGACCGGCAGGTCAGGATCATCTATTGCATGAAGAAATGATGTTCTCCGCAAGGAATAACGATCCAGTGCGGCAAGTCAACAGACATTGCTGCGGGGCGGGAAATTGTACCCTTCGGATTTCCAAGTTTAAGGATATAATTGAAACGCGGTTAAACTACGAGTAAAGCGGCTTGCAGAGAATTAACATCTCCGTCCACACTTCGAGAATCAAAGTAATCTATGTAAGTATCGAGTCCGACCCTAAATTAGATAGGAAACCACAATACGAAGGTGAATACGTCTTCAGCGCAACGGATAAGCAGCGACTCTTTGCAAAATGATAGCGTACAGGAGGCACCGGTACGAACTGATTGCGCTCACCCCACCTGTTCGATTATCCACCCACGCGTTGCCGATACTGGTGGTATGCTGACACAAGCCAATACCTCATGGCGTATACTTCTGAATATATTTGCCTGCGCCCGAAACGATACGCGCATGTCTCCCGTTCCCCGTGTCGGCAGCGAAGCTGAAAACCCATGCCCTCGTTCTGTTCAAGGAACGAACACCGCCCTGTGCTGTCCAGTCCCCGGCCCCCACCCCACTATCGCTACCGCCTCCATGCAGCTTCAGTCGCCTGCCATGTCGCCGACAAGCCTACACAGGCGAGGCGAGCAGACGGTTGTCACGTCACGTAACCTCAGTACAACAAAGCCCGTGCTTGCAAACGCCCAAGATCGAGTTCCGTCTGCTGATAAGCCTCAATCATAAAAACGTTTTCGACTTGGCGAATAGTAACATACCATCACCACTTGTGATGAGTGCACGGCCCCATACCTGCATGAGACACACAGATCAGACCCCCCGCAGCCCCTTGGGTGGTTGGTTCAACTGGACCTCAGTTGCTGCAGTGGAGCCCGACCGGCTGCAACGCCCTAAACGACCGCCAACCGCACAACACTGTGGGGTTTATGTTGGCCTAGCATGTTAGCTTCACTGATGACATAATAGTGGCAGGTGGCTGGCAGAGGTTAAGGCCTGACTTCTGCTCGGAGTCAAATCCGCCTGCCGACTCCTCGGGTGTGTGAGAAGTGTTGAAATGGGAGGTGGCCCCCCATCTTATGAACGGTGTAGGACGTGATAATATCAGCATGCGAGCTGACCAGGAACTAAGTTGAGGCGCCGTTGATCCGCTATATTTGGTTGGATGCTGGTGGTGAGTTGCCGAACCCAACGAATACACTCTGAAGTCGGATGGGGTGAATGGATTAGGGTGCCCCTCTCGCAGGGGAGAGCAGGGAACTGCCTCGGGAAAAGGGGCCGCTGGTGAAGCTATACCACCCTGTAACAACATTTTTTTGGACATAAAAAATTAGAGTTGTATGTTGTCGGGTCCACATGGCAAATGATTGGTCTAGAGCACTGAACGGGGTGGTCAGACGGTATCAGAGGGTATCGCCAGTCTTTGGGAGCGTGTCTTCTTTTGCCTCAAACCCAGCAAACCCGGCGACAAAAGCGAACTACAAAATGATGATAATAACAATTACCTTCAGTGGCATCGTTCCTGATAACCGCCTCTTACAGCCCGTGCTACATGCCCTCTGCAGCCTAGCCCCGGTCCATAATTGGCTCCGTAAAATGCACACACCGAGGCGCAAGTACATACATACATACACATACATACATACACATACATACACACATGTTCCCTTAATTACTACATGTGTGCAAATATCTTCTCCTTTCCGCCTGCACTGGCCCGTTTGTTTAGGGTCCATCCCGCCTCACTCAAAAAACACAAAAAAGCAAAAGTGCATATACACGATTCCTCACCTCCTTCCCGCCAGAAGAACAAAACTCGTCGCGTTGAGTTCGGCCCGAGTCTGCAAATAATAATTATAATTGGAATCCTAGCCTCAGCATCAGCAGCACCTGTGACCCTAAAAACAATCCCAAACAATACCAGTGTTACCGAATTCAAGGCGGGACATTCGAAAAGCAACATGGGCCCCATGGCCTAACCTTTGCTTTAGATTTCGCTATGCCGTACGCTTCCAACTGCATATGATTCTGCCTACTGCGCGTTGGTCGAGTATCGTACATAGGAGTGCAGACGACGACAACAGCAATAAAAATACCATCACCATCACCACCATTACAACTAACACCACCACAACACCATTGCATCTCAAAAAGCTCCCAAAGCGCCGTTACCTCTTTTGAATAGATAATCTCGCCTAAATTCAATTCTCTGAATTCGTAGTCAGACCTGAACCAGAACTCCGAACGTCACGAAAAAAAACCTTCCCTGGTGCCGCAAACCCGAAACCGACAGCTGCGAGATCCGCAGATCGATTCCCCGCCCGCCCACGTGACGATGACCTCGACCTCATTCACCAACGGCCGACCAGCACTAATCTAAAACCCCCTGGCCACACACACATACATACGGACATACATATTGAAAATTTATGCCCGTGCAATCACATGCAAAGACGCGCAGTACATGCACACGGAGACGGAAGGCAACACATGCCTGCATGCATGACGCGTGTATGTGTATGTGTATGCGTGTGTGCCCTCCATTGCTGCATACATGCATGGTATGTCCCACCCCCACACACACGCCTGGCCTCGTACATACACCCTACCCTTCCATCTCGCCTTCCTCCCCCCTTCGCCCCGCCGTCGTTTACGCCAAAACCCATGTCACGTACATACGTACACATAGACATACTTCTTTTCTTCTCCTTTCTCGCGACTCCCGATCATCATAAATAAACATACGCTGCTACTCGCTCACGCCAACCCCGCCACGCCCAGCATCCGCGCGGCCGCCAGCCCCAGACACAAACACATGCCGTACTGGATGTGCCACGTGACGGCAAAGCGCTTCAGCGGCGCCACACGCTCCGGAACCAAGTGATGCTCGTCCGCAAAGGCCACCATTGTCAGCGCCGCCGGCGCCGTCAGCACTGTCGCCGCCGCGGCGGCGGTCCAGGGCAGCGCGCCAACGGCTGTAGCCGCCAGCGCCGCGATGTACGTGACGACGGCAGCAGCTCGCAGTACCTTGCGGCCTCGCTCCGTACCTAGTCGTACAAGAGGCGAGCGCTTACCCGCGGCTGTGTCACCGGCAATCTGATGAAAGTGGCTGCAGAAGAGAATGACGGTGGTGGTCAGGCCGACGAGTACGGAGCACGTCCACACGACGGGCGGCACGCCGGATGTCAGGGCGGCCGCGGCGGCTTCACCGCCAGCGGTGGCGGCTGTTGCTGCAGCGGCGGTGCCGCCGCCGCCGTCAGGCCGCAACGCCAAGTAAAACGCCGTCGTGGCGGAAGGCCCGAAGGCGAAAAAGCACAGCGGCTCGCCGAGCCCCTTGTACGACAGGCGGAACGGCGGGCCCTGGTAGAGGTACCCGCAGGCGATGGAGAAGGCCAGGAGACCCGCGGGTCGCAGGTCGCCGCCTGGCGCTGAGGTGATCAGGTGCACCAGCAGCGCCACACCCGCCGCCAGGAGCGACTTGGCGAACAGGAGCACCGCGATGCGGCGCTTGGGCCCGCCGCCGAGAAGGTTCACGACGGATTCTGGCTTCGATGCGTCGACGCCAGTCTGTGCGTCGAAGGCGTCGTTGCTGTCGAGCGAGCGAGACCGGAGAGCCGTAGGGGGCGACCAGGGGGAGCACATGAAGGACGTGGTGGACGTGGGGAATATCGCGCAAACAACATGGGAAGTTTGGAGAGACCGGAAGCGGAAGGGGCTGCGGTTGCGGAGCGCCGCGAGGGCAACGTCGAAGACAGGACTATCCGCTACCACTACAACTCGCGCCCTCGACATTAAACAGAACTGCCAAAAAACCAGAATTGTCGGTATAGTCGGTATCCACACACCACCGTCACTAACCCCCGCTCATACGCCACTTCCCAGGCTGCATCCTATGTTGCGCAACTGCCGTACGGAAGGTAAGGTCTCTTCCCCTCAACTCCCCCCCCCCCGAAAGGGGCCCCACGGGCGGTACAGCCAGAGGGAGGCGAGGCGGGTGCAGGTATCAGGTGTGGCAGGGAAGGACTCGCGGCGCGACGGAGGGCCAGCCATAGCAACGAGCTAGCGGACAGGCAACATGCGGATCGTGCAGTCGTAGCAATTCCCCCTTCTCCGTGATGGCGGTGCATCTGTTTGGCTGCTGCTCCACAGCGTATGTACACCGTCACGATGCAGGTGGATGGTGCCCGTTTTACATGGCGGGGGGGGGGCAATGGGGTATTTCGCTTTGCCGGGTGTAAAACGGTGCCCACGCCCACGCCCCACGCGTCTTGCTCGAATGGAAAAGATCAACCCTTCCTCCCTCCCACTCTCTACATGGACCTGCTCATCCATTTTTGCTACGACACACACCAAGACGATACACGCACACGCACACACGCACACATGTGCTATGTCACACGTGAGCAATACACATGTAAAATATATTTACAAACCGGCCTAGAATGCCACACGTACACACATACACCCGGACGTGCGCACGGGCGGCTCACCTGAGATTGAGCCATCCAATCACCAGGATGGCGGCGAGCACAAAGCCCGCCACTTGGCCCCAGGGGAGCACCCCGCACTGGAAATAGACATTGGCCGCCGCCACCTGACACGAGGGCAGGACAGAACAGCAAGCGGTACATACACCTTTGCATTTTGTCGTTGCGAATGTGGTGTTGTGACTGAAAGGACTGAAAAAAGGAAAGGGATGAGGAGGATTAAGGGTTGGCAACGGATGGTCTTGGTCCGTTGTGGGGGATAATGAGTGTGCAGCAGGAGTTTTCGGATAGCAGGATGTAAAACCGGGATGTAAAATCAGGAAGGTGAAATCAGGATAGGCCCAAAACAACACTATGGAGCACAGGCCGGGCCCGCGGAAGCCAGGGAAATGCGGAGGGAGGGAGAGAGGAGAAGTGGGGCGGGTGGGGGAACGCCAAGAGGGTAATACTGAGGTGGTGTTGTGGCTAGAGGGTTTTGGAGGGCTCAGGCGCGGCAAAAGCCGTATTCAACGTGCACCTCACCAGAACGGGCATGAAGCCGACGGAGTACATGGGCGGCTTGATGGCCGCAAACCAAAGCTTACGTCGGTCCTGAGAACTTTCCGGTGCTGTCGCAAAGTTAGGTACGGGCTCTGCTGTAACTAGACTTTGAGCCGAAAGATCTTCCGTGTTCGACGATGCGCTCGGAGGGCCGATTGCTGATGAAGGCGCTACGTCAGCTCGCTCCAGCCGATTCTCTGGCTGATCATACGCAGGCTGCACGTTGATTATCAGTCGTGAAGTAGCTGGAACAGCGCTGCAGGAAATGCGCATGTCCCTTAATCCTGTCGCCGGACGCACTTTCCGCCGCAGCCGCAAGTGTGCAGCTGTCAATCGCACTGTACATGCTTGCCCAACACAGAGTACGCGCGGCGTGCGTAGGGAAAGCATCTGCTCCAAATCGTCGCTATGACCGAAATTATACTAAAGTACCAGTAACCTTGCCTTGTTCACCTCAAGTCTTCATTTTAACACGCCCGACCATTTGCAACCTATGGTGCACAGACGGTGCGCCATACTTGCATAATACTATTTTGCCGTCCTAAATTTTGAACATACGCATAGCTCGCATCTTAAAAGATCTCTTACAAATTGCTATGATATTTTGTTGTACCAAGCTTAAACCTGTACATATTAAACGAAAGTGGGGCACCGTACGACCCCTCGACGTTTCGGAGCTGATCAGTTAATGTTCAACTGTTCACACTGAAGTTTTTCACATTGCTCCATATACGTTATCTTTCCGGCGGGTGTAGACATCTCTGGTTGCTGCGGACCATTGAGTCTGTAAGCAGTCAAGGAACCTCGTTCCGAGCTGCCGTGCAGGAGGACTATGCCCGCTCACAAGGCGGCTTGGCCGCCTTCTTCATCTGCTGTGAACGGGATGCCGCACTACTAGCTTGCCGCACACGGTAAGCCAAAGGCTTCTTGATATGGGACGTGAAAGTCCAAAACTGGATTCGCAGATCCAGCTGCTGCGGAACCTACCACACCTGCACCTGATCAGGCCATTGCCTAGAAAGGCCCTCTTCACCAGCCACATAGTCGGCGGCCAGCCAGCTGCTAACCAAAAGCACCGGGTACACGGCATAGAGGCATGATGCATGATATGTATATGTGTGTGTGTGTGTTACATGGTCGGGGGTGCGTGACCCCATACCTGTAAGACTACCCATACGAGCCGAAGGCCCATGAATGTCTGTCAGTCACTACCGGCATGACAGAGACCCTCTGAGCAGGCGTGGCTTCGGAGCGACCGAGCCGTGGCTGGGGACCTTGATGAAATAAGGCCTGGAGAACAGGAAGGGTGGTGTGCGGAACCCCAGTGATGGCTCTCAGTGAAGGATGAAGTGATGGAATTTTGAGCTAAAGTTAAAGCTATTTTAGGAAAACACCTTGAAGGGTGCCGTGCAGATAAGTCAGACACGCAAAAGTGGCTCCCATTACACCAAACTGCACGACACAGATCTTAGTCGCAGGCATGACCATTGTAAAATGTCCGGTATATCCGGAGCTTTGAAGGTCCATCAAAAGACGCTCGTTCCTTGGTGGTACTGCCGCTTACTACCCAGCACAAGGAAGTTCCCACACAACCCTATAGGAGTCCACCGAATTCAAATTAAAGACGCAATCCAAAGGGCAGCCTGTTTCGTACAGAAAATGATCGGAAAGAATACAATGCAAAAAGAAAGGAAAAGCTGGCAAGGCTGGCACCATATAGCCCTCATTCCCGCGTATTGTCGATTACTTCCTGCTACAGGGAAGTTCCGCCACTTAAAAACTATAATTGAGTACCCACGATTATCACAAGTACAATAACTATCGTCTTCTGTGACCGCAGCTGGCCGTCCTCCCGGCTGCACGGTCCCACCTGCAAGTCCAACTGTCACAGCAGAAATTTATACATATCAAACTATTTACACGAAGTATAATTACACTCAACATATCTAACTAGTGTGCTCCTGGGTTGTACAGCTCCCGCACCTCCCCTCCCCTCCTCCTCATGGCGCTTACCTCCCTTCCAACCCCCTCGGCCCCCTCACCTCCTTTCCCCCCCATCCCCCGCCCCCCCCACGCGCCATGGAGTTCAGCGAATCCATGTTACATCGAAGAACCTCCGGAGGACAGTTGTTCTCCTGATGGGGGGGAGGGGGCAGAGGGGGAGGGGGAGGGGGAGGGGCAGGGGGAAAAACACAGCTCAAGAAGGGGAGGGAGTGAGAAGGTAAGGTAGGGAGGGCCACATGATTATGGATCATCAGCCGCCAAAAGGGGAAGAAACAAAACCATATACCACAAAAGATATTTTACCTCCCATCACGTACAATGCAACGGCGCAGTACCGTCATGCCGTACGGTATCGTACCTGCGCCGAGGTGGTCAGCATGTGCCGTGCCTTTTGTGCATCGCCGTAGTTGTAGTACAGCAGGCAAATCGCCTCCGCGCCGTCACGGCCCCCCCGGCCAGTCTCCTGCACACACAAACCCACACGACCCTTACGGCCCAGATGGATGCAGGACAACCAGTTTATGACGTGTCGTACAGGTTGTTGAGGGTAACGGCCGCAGCACCAGTTTCCGTGCGTTTCCACGCGGGTGGAATCCACGGGGTGTCTGATCAGAGGGGGATCAGAGGGGGACCATTCCACCGGGGGGCAGCTCATTCCACCGGGGGGCAGCTCATTCCACCGGGGGGCAGCTCATTCCACCGGGGGGCAGCTCATTCCACCGGGGGGCAGCTCATTCCACCGGGGGGCAGCTCATTCCACCGGGGGGCAGCTCATTCCACCGGGGGGCAGCTCATTCCACCGGGGGGCAGCTCATTCCACCGGGGGGCAGCTCATTCCACCGGGGGGCAGCTCATTCCACCGGGGGGCAGCTCATTCCACCGGGGGGCAGCTCATTCCACCGGGGGGCAGCTCATTCCACCGGGGGGCAGCTCATTCCACCGGGGGGCAGCTCATTCCACCGGGGGGCAGCTCATTCCACCGGGGGGCAGCTCATTCCAGGGTTTTACCCGGACGGAGATCGAGTGGCTGGAGCTCAGAAGGGTAGGTGGGTAGGCCTGTGATGCGTGGGTGTGGGCGTGGGCGTGCTTGATTGAGCTGCACGTGGCGGTGGAAAAGCCATAGGGGGTTGCGGGAAGGAGACAGATTGGTGGATGTTGTTCGTTGTACGGCTGCCAGGCATGGGGTCCTTTTGCGCTGGCAGAGGCCGTGGACAGGGCGGGAAGGCGGCGGGATAATGCCAACCTTGCGGAGGGCATGTTCGAAGCTTGTTTGAAGGATAGCGCAGTCCAGCTGCAGATTATGTTCATGTGGCGGATAGTGGGGGCGGTATGGGCATCTCACCGGTGGTTGTTGTTGTTGTTACAGGGTGGTTAACTTCGCCAGCGGCCCCCTTTCCCAGGGCAGTCCCTGCTCTCCCCTGCTAGAGGGGCACCCTAATCCGTCACCCCATCCGACTTCAGAATGTATTCGTTGGGTTCGGCAACTCACCACCAGCATCCAACCAAATCTAGCGGATCAACGGCGCATCAACTTAGTTCCTGGTTAGCTCGCAAGTGTTGTATGTGGAGCTGGCTGAGCTCCCCCTACAATAATACATGGTGAAGCAGATCCTCCGTTTCTGGAACCGCCTTCAAAAGCAAGTGGGGTCCATTGCTCATGCAGTTTTACGGCAGGAGATAACCGATGCCCTGACCAACCCGGAATGGGAGGGTTGGGGAATCTCAATGTTATACCTGTTCCCTTTCTTGGAGTGCAATACTTGGAGCGGAATACCGCAAGAAGTCCTGTGGGTAAAGGAGCGTGTTGACTGGTAGCTGAGTAGACCTCTCCCCGAAGGAGCAGTGATAACGGCACTAAGGGAGCGTTTGATGACCGGCTGGGACCATGGGCATCTGAATGTCTTGCCAGAGGAGTATACCCTTCAGATGGGAACAACCGGGAGTGCAACGTTACAAGCTCCACGCACAAGTGCGGGGGTGTCCGTTAAAGCCCGGGAAGGGGGCCATGGACGGTACATCGTTTTCAGTGCGGCTACGTGATGGACCATCATCGTCCGCCCTAGTCCGCTTGAGCACGAAGCGCCTTAGAGCAACGTGCCGGGTCTCCCAGACTTCCGAGAGGAACCTGGCTAGATACAGATGGCGAAGTATAAGCACTGGATTGGGCTGCCCTTTTTTTGTGAGCCGCAGCCGTTATGTTACATGCTAAGGCTTTCATTCCTCGTCGAGCGCAATGTAGGCCCGTATGCGCCCCTGCTACAAGAGAGCCGTCGAAATGAACCTAGGGTTTTACATACCAAGACACCGTCACGATTTGGCCCAGCACCTTGCCTTTCTGTGAGACACGGAGACGGCTTTTAGGAAACGGCAGCAGCATCTTCCGTACGACAATAGGCGGATGCTGGTACACTGGCACTTCTTCAGGTCCTACACCAGCCAGGTACCCATCCTGGGCTTTTACATGCCGGGTTGTTTAACGCCTAGTGTGCCACCACACAACCAGCCGTCCCCTTCCAAGTCAAGTCCATCAACCCAGCCTCCCCTGACAACGCCGCCACCTAGCTTGCTCAGCCCGGCCGCCAAGTCCCCACCACCGCCACCGCCTGCAACTAACATCGCTCTGGGCAAGCTCACATTCGCCTCCTCCATCGCTGATAATGACGTCAGGCGTTATGGGCCCCAGAGCAGCGCTGATGGGTTCATAATCAGCAACACCGGGGTCAGCATATTCCGAAGTGCAGCAAGCGGCCAGGATCAAACTCCTTGACTTTGCATCGACCTGGGCGGGCACTTTACTGTCAGCAAAATCGTGTTGTACAACAGGCAGGACTGTTGTGGAGAGTATACCTGTGTAATGCCGAGATACGAATGGGTGGGGCGCTTGTGAGCAACAGCCTCACCGCGGCGGCCCAAATACACCTTAACAAATTAGTGCATCGGATGGTCGGGTGCAGCACCGCCGGCGCCCTGATCACCGTTGCGCTGTCCTCAACCCCAGTCACAGGGCGCTACGTCACAGTACAGAACTTTGGCAACGCGACCAATGCGTCTAGCCTCTGCAGGTGGCGGAGCTGCAGGTGTACGGCACCCCCGCGGGGATGATGCATACGGCAAATCCGGGTTTTCAATGTGGATGGGTTTGCGCTGGCTGTGGCTGGGGGGAGTCAGCAGCAGCGGCGGTGGTGGTGGCCTCTCGATAGCAGCAGCTGGTGCGGTGCGGTGCGGTGGGGGAAACTGGGGGCAGATGGGCCTCTCCTCTTTCACACCCCACACACACAAATACACACATATGTGATGTGCGACACAAGGGTATCGCACACCACATCTCCTAGTTCTAACTGGGTTGGTTCGCGTTGTGAATCTGCCAGGTCATTGCCAACCACCCAAGTGGGCCCGTCTGCACACACAGAGGCAGGGGGCGGCTATGCGGTGCACTAATAATCTGCTGCACAGAAGACCCCCCAACAACATCCCCTCTGAGTCTCCGCCACCGCAATCTCTGGGGGCACACGCCCCCTATCTGCCTGTCTCTGTTGCTTTGTGTGTTTCCATCTCACTGCTAATCCGCCCCCTCCCCTCCCCCCCTTCACATTCACGCCGCGTCGGGACTCTTCACTTCCAGCAGACTGTTCTCTGACGGCGCATGGTACGGCAGCGACGCTGTCACGCTGGTGGCAAGCGCCCAGCAGCCCGACCCGGAGTCCTGCTGCCAGGCATGTTTCTCCCGGCTGGGTGCCGAGTGCAGCCACTGGGACTACACACGGGGCAGCCGCATGTGCTCAGAACGCAGGACGTCGGCCGTCAGGGGCGGTGGAGGTGCGGCGAGATGAGGACCGAGTGGCGGGATCTAGTAACGGTATGTACGGTGTGTACGGGATCTAGTAACGGATGCGTACAGAGTGTATATATATGATACTGTTACTGAGTGGTGTTGTATACTGCTACAGTCTCCCTCTCACAATTTGTTATTTACATGCACGCTGTAGAAGATAGACATCGGCAGACGATCGGGCACTTCGGGTACCGAAAATCCCGAAAACAGAAATAGAGTTCCCGAAGCCGATCCGCTTTTGCAGAAATAGAGGACCATCCGCCGGCCATCCCATACGAAAGCTCCTCTGCGGCCGAAGGGCCCCCCAACGGCCGAAACCGCCAGCCCATGATGACAGAAATAGACCACTTTCTGAAACCAGAAATACTCCTTTTGCCGATGTGTGGTAGAAGATTAGTCGTACGTTACTTGTTTGTTGCTGAAACGGCCAGTTGGTTGCTAGTTGTCCGTTGATACTGCCGGCTGTTGTTTGTTTGTTGTTGTTGTTGTTGTTGTTGTTGTTGTTGTTACAGGGTGGTACAGCTTCACCAGTGGCCTCCTTCCCGAGGCAGTCCCTGCTCTCCCCTGCTAGAGGGGCACCCTAATCCATTCACCCCATCCAACTTCAGAATGTACTCTTTGTGTTCAGCAACTCACCATCAGCATCCAACCAAATCTAGCGTTTGTTGTTTGTGTGTGTTGCGTCCAGCCCAACTCTGTAGGTAGGCTGCACGGCTGCTCTGACGGCCGTGTGTGTGTGTGTGTGTGTGTGTGTGTGCTCCCCTTCCCTCCCCTTCCCGCGTGTGTTACCCTTTCCCCCCAAACTTCATTAACCCCCCCTTTCCACCACGACGTGTGCCCCTCCTGATACATACATACGTACGTACGTATGGCTCCCTGCCAACCGCGCATTGGTATGATCGGTGTACGGTATGCCACTTTAACACATTTACACGGTAAATAAAGGTGTGAGCTCATACGCGAGTCACACCCGGCTGCCGGAGGGAGGCGGTTTCCTAGCCGACACGGAGGCCATGTGGATTTCGTCCCTGCCAACCGCTTTCGTACCGTTCGGCCAACGAATCATAACGTCCGTTTGGCAGTCAACCAACAATTACCGTACCTTTCAGTTACACTCCGAGCAGCAGCAGCAGCAGCAACAGCAAGCCGCAGGGGATGTAGGCGGCACAGCAAGCAGCTTTAATGCCACCCTTACCATCATTGCAGACGAACCCTGGCCACCGTCTTCGTAAACGGCCAGGAGATCGGCCGTACAGTGATGTTCCCAAGCCGTACTGTACTGCAGGTCTCGGAGCTGCGGCCTGGCCCCAATCTGATTGTGTTGCACTGCAACAGCACGGGGGGGCCCGGCTGTGGTGGCTGCCTCCCTGACCTCTGGGGGGGGGGGGCTGACGGCTCTGTGCTGCTGCGAACAGACCACACTTGGAACGGGCTGTAGCATACTAAAGCTGGTGGTGGTGTATGTCCGTAAATATGTAGATATCCTCACAGCACTTGTGCACTACCTGTGTGCGCTCCTGGGGGTAGTTCGTCTGTATGTGTATCTGCATGTGTGTATGTGTATCTGTGTATATGTCTGTATTTGTTTTCGCCCGAGTTGGATAAACTGGGGAGGCTGGCAAGTAGCAAGACGGGGCAATGTGAGGTGAGGCAGCGTGAGCCTTTGCCTTATTCTTATGTGTGCGGTGTGTTGCCTGTTGGACTTCGGGCTGAGGCGGCTTTAGGCACAGGAGACGTATGGGGGAAGGCGGTTGGGGGGAATCCGTGCCATGTTGCCCGTACGTACGTACCGCCCACAACACATCGGGCAGCGCGGGGGCAGGTGGTGGTGTTTACATTCGCCCTTCAACGCTTCTCGTGGATAACCATGAATCACATGCATGGTACGGACGGAATGCCGTTACATGTACGACATATGCATACGTACATAGTACATACCCTAAAGCCCCAAACCCTCTTCTTCGTCACCCACTACAGGGAGTAGAGCAGTAAGGAGCTTCCTTAGATGGATACAAAAAACAACATACATACATACATACATACATACATACATACATACCCGCCCCCCGCGCTGTGTTTCGGCCCTGGGCCCCCGGCTTTTCAGCCCACAGTGTAATCAACGTCATACATACATTACATACATACATTACATACATACATGCAATATGTAAACATCACCCCGACATCTTAAACGCTTGTGCACTGCTATCGGACACTGCACACCTGTAAATTCACATGCTGTACAGAAAAAGCGGGCGAACAGAAACACGCCATAGTCTTGTAGCGATCTCCTCCGTCCCTGCCAACCTTGAGAGTTGCACACGTCACATGTACGACTGTCAGTAATCTGTATGTATGTGCATGCGGCAAACAGACAGACACACTCTCCGACTGTGCACGACCTGCAACCACCACCTCCCCCACACCATGACCAGTACACGCCAACAGCCTGGTCCTGAGGTTGACAACAACAGAAGAGGGGCAACACAACACAGAAAAGTGATCATGCACACCAGGCATATACCCCATAAACTCACGATTTAGCTTCGACCTATTTCATCTATCTATTTGTCTATCTACCTCCTGAAACTCAAGAAATCCGAGGCCCCTCCTGTCACCGTTGCTGCTCCCGGGGACTGCGGCGCCCCCGGGGCCCCCCCCGCCGGCCCCGCAGCAGCCTGACTAGCAGCCCCAGACCCCAACCCGCCAACCCCGACCCCGGCTCGCTTGGACAACGACAGGCGGCTGCCACCCCGGACACCTCCCCCCTGAGTGTACTGCACCTCCTCTCCTGCCGTACTCCCATCCCCGCCACCGCCCCCACCGCCGCTGGCCCACCCACGGCCGTACATTTCGGCACCTCCACTCGAAGACGCGGCGGCACCGCCGCCACATCCGGGAACATTACCACCGCCGCCGCCACCGCCGCAGTAAGGTGGTAAAGCTCCGAAACCACACTGGCTTGCCGGCGGTGTGTAGCCACTGACACCTCCCCCAGTCGCCGGTGTTCCTCTGAAACCGATATTACCACCCCCTCCACCCCCGCCCCCACTACCACTGCCGGCTGCTGTTACTGCTGCTGCTGCTGCTGCTGCGGGTTGCGGAGGTACCCAGCCGCCCTGCGGGATGACGGCGCGGCGGCGGCGGCGGGGCACGGGAGGCAAAGATAGCTCAGAATGCCAAAGGGCGTCATGAACACCCACACGGCTACAACAACAGCAGCAGCAGCAGCAGTGATAGACGGTTAGAGAAACCTAGAGAAAGCCTGGAAACGGGATGCAACAATAACAACAACAACAATAACTTGCAGCAAAGTGCAAAGTGCATGCTGATATATAAGTACCTGGCCTAGTCAAAGACATACATACGCACCCGGTGTTGGGGGACCAGCAGCTGCTGCTGAGGGTGAGGGTGAGGGTGAGGGTGAGGGTGAGGGTGAGGCTGCGCAGAGGGTGGCGGGAGGGGCGGTCGTGTGGGGGCCAGGGGCGCAGATAGCCCCGGACCCGGCTGCTGCTGCTGCTGCTGCTGCTGCTGCTGGCCCCCGTAATGTTGCCCTTGCCCTTGCTGGTGCTGGTGCTGCTGCCCCTGCTGTGTGTTAGCGCCGGCGGATGTGAGTGCGGATGCGGGTGGGGGAACACGGAGGGGCACCCAGGCCGGTGCTGCTGGTGGTGGTGGTGGGTGCTCCTCTTGCGCCGTGTGACGAGGTGGGTGAGGGTGAGGGGGATAGCCTCCTCCTCCACCTCCCCCACCCCCACCTCCACCCCCGGGTGATGCCGTGCCACCGCACCGAAAGCCTAGGAACGTGTTGCCACCCCCACCCCCACCCCCACCCCCGTTACCCTTGAAACCGCTGTTACCGTTACTGAAGTTGTTGCCGTTGTTGCTAAAACTGACATTATTGTTGTTGTTGTTATTGTTGTTAGCGGCCGTCATAACCCCGGCGGCGTTCTGCCGTTTGAAGGTCCCAAACGGTGCTACTGCCGTTGCCCCCCCCTCCGGGGCCCCCTCCACGACAGGCCCCGGGCACGGTCGGGTACGTGGCGGCTGTACGGCAGGCACAACCCCGCCAAGCTCCTCGTCCACCACTCCCCCCAGCACCCTCCTCCCGGATGCGGCCGCCCCCTCCCGGGCCCGCTTGCATCCCGCGACACCGAGTTGGGGCGGCCCCGCACCCGCCGCCGCTGCCGCCGCCGCCGTCGGGTCGCCAGCCGGCCCGCCACCGCCGCCGCCAGCGCCGCCAGCGCTGCCGCTGTGGTGGAGTTTATCTTCGTGCAGTACGAACGACATGTTGGCCACCTCCTGCCCCGCTGTGAAGGCCTCCATGTACTGCAACTTGGCCTTGGGGGCCCGATGGGGGGGGAAATGAGACTAGGTTGGGGGGTGCACGTGTGTGTTTATGTGTGTGTGTTGCTGCCGGTGCTAACCAGAAGAGGAAATGAACGGAGCCTGCCACATGTACGACAGTACTTGGCTTGGGTTTATTGACTTCAAATGGTGCTTGTCCTCCCCAAGTACGGCATATGTACGGCCTCACGCTCGCTGAACCCCAACACAATTACAAAGACACATACACGTCTCTTAACTCCAGGCTCAACTCGAAGAACTTACGCACGGGGGGGGGAGCACGCCCCTTCCCCCCCTTACCTGGTCAATGACTGCAATGATGTTCTGGCCGTGGGTCCGCTTCCGCAGCTCCGAAAACCCGGTCAACGTCATTGCCATGAGCTCATTCAGATTGCGGGGCCGTGCTCTGTTAAGGAAAGGGGAGAGGGGGGAGAGGGGAGAGGGGGGAGAGAGGGGGGAGAGGGGAAGGGGGGGGAGGACCAGTAAGGTGCTCACATACATGAGCGAGAAGGGAAATCATACAACATGACTCTTGCGTCGCCAGGTCCCCCCCCCACCTCACCCCCCCCCAATGCCTCACTCACCGAGCCAGCTGGTTCACAACGTTGGCAGGGAGAATCGACTCGCCCTTCTTGCCCCGGTCACTGCCGTTCCGAGCCAGCCAGCCACGCAGCTGTACGAGCGCATCGTACACCAAATGCGCCAGCGGATCGTCCTTGACGGTGAGCGCGGCGCTGCTGGTGGCGGCAGCGCCAGCGGTGGCGGCGGCGGCGGCGGGCGCCGAAAAGCCGGCGGCGGGGCCGCCTCCAGCACTGGCTGCCGGCGCCCCGGCTCGACGATGGGATGCCGTACGGTCGGCGGCACGGTCGGTGCCGCCAGCTGCAATCACGGGCTGGGGTCCGTACGTTGTGCCACGGAGCGAGCTTGACGACAAAATAACGACAGTAACCAACAAATAACCGAAAGTAGCTCCAAATTACAGTAAAATGGGGGACCGGGGAACGGATGACAGGATTAGTCGGGTTCCTCCCACCCAAGTGGTACGAGTCGTACATGTCGTACAGTAGAAAACAGCATCTCCTTCCCACTGAACATGTTCGCGGCCGGGTAAACACACACGGCCATGAAGCACGCACTCGAAACCCCACACACCCCAAAAAAGCCATCCATTCACCTCGCAAATCTCCACGTCGCTGTCCCCACCGCAAACAACCGGGTCGTCGTACGACACATCGTACACCATCCCCGCCGCAGCGGCGGCGTCTTCGGCATCGTCGCCCCAATCTGGCCCCCACGCATCCCCAGCCATTCCGCCAGCACCCAACCGCCCCCGAGTACCGCCACCGCCGCCGCTGCCACTGCCGCGGGCGCGAGCGGCGCCAACAGTTGCTGCTGCTGCTGCGCCTGTGGCGGCGGCGGCAGTAGCTTTGTTACCCCGGCCGCGGCTGCCCCCTGCCTTGGAGGTTTTGGCTCCGGGTCCCGCCCCGACGGGGAACTGCAGCTCCACTTTCAGCGACCCACGGGTCAGTTGCTGGGCCATGGGCTCGTTCACCTGTTTGTGCAACAACACCGGCAGGGAGCGCTCTGCGTGTGGGAGCTCCTGTGTTTTTCTGTGCACATTTGCGTGTGTGTTTATTTTAGTGAACTGCGCCGAGGTGCAATCTGCAGTTAGGGTGTGTATGTGTGCACATACAGCAGTGCTAGCCGCCAGCACTAGCATCAGCACCAGCACTGGCAACCGACGGCTAACCGCCCCGGTGCCCCCCCCCCGGCGGTGCTCCCCACCCCCGGCGGTCCGCACTCTCATCCAGAGGCCGAACCGCTCAACCCCCGGGGGCTTACAGGGCCACCTCCGTTCCAACCGCCTGCCGTACGCATTGGCCAAGCCCCCACGCACCAAACAACCCCCGTACACAGCCCTTCCCTCCGGGTGATGTCGTACTCACCGTGATAGCTGATGACATGGTTTGGTAAGCGTTTTCCTGTTTTGGGTGGAAAGGGGGGGGGGAAGGCAAACCCGGGGAAAATGGGTGTTTGGGGCCGGGGAAGGAGCCGCATCCGCGGACGGTCTGGACAGCTGGGTAGGGCGGCACGATGGAAAGCCGCAGCGGCAGAAGCGGATACCGAAGAGCGTGTCTGTCTGCCTGTTTGTGCGTCTGTCTGTCTGCTTCTTTCTATGTCTTCTTCCCCTTCTCCCCATCTCACTCACCTCCTTCAGACCCCACCATGCAATACACCCTTCAACACCTCCCTGCCCCCCACACCCACACAGCTCCTCACTTGGCGAAATGTCTGCTCCGACAGCACATTCATGGCCAGCAGCTTTCGGAGCAACCGCTGGGCATCTCCCTGCGTATGTGTGTACGCGTGTGTGTATTTGCCGTGACGGGAAGACCCCGGGGGCGGGGAGGTGTAGGCGAGGGGAAAGAGAGGAAAACGGGCTATCAGTGGTAGCGGTGATGGTGGTGGGGTCTGCCCGGGTGGGGAGAGGCTGCCTAGTGTGTACGTGTGTATATGTATGTGTGTGGGGGGGGCCAAAGAGAAAGAGCCAGGAGTTAAGACGGAGGAGTTCGGATACGAGTCGGAGAACGGCCTACAATGTCGTACATATACATGTACATGTATTTAGAACCCTTCCGTACCTTTTGCAGGGACTTCCCCGCTCCGTGGAGAGGCAGCTCGGTGTGCCCCGCCGCTTTAATCTGCGATTGAGAAGGGGGACGGGGAGAGGGGGAGGGGGGGGATAGTGTGTTTGGGTGTTGAGGGTGTTGGGGGGAAGTAGTGGATCGGTATCACGTATGGACCACTATCTAGGGTGGGGGGGAGAGAGAGAGGAGAGGAAGGGTCAGGTGGACATCGCTAGGTCCGGATTGTGGGTGGTGCTGGTGGTGGGGTGTTATGTGTGTGGGGGGGGGGGACCCCGTATAGGGCCCCAGGTGAAGGTCATTACTTATGGCTGTGAGTGTATCGGGCGGCGGGTTGTGTCGCCACCTGGAGGGGCCTCGACCTCTTGGGAGGCGGTGCAGGAAAGAGAAAGAGACACATGACGGATATGTATATGTGTATATGTACATGTGTATATGTATATACGTGTATGTATGCATGCATAATAGCAATAGCAGTATCAGCTACGTCAGTCGTACCCTATAGCCACCCCCCTCTGATGCCATGTTGATGTGTGGTGATGTGTGATGGTTGTGGTGGATTGCGGTGAGTTGTGGGAGCACTTATCACGTCAGACGTCATTATCATTTTCCGTGATGAGACGTGTATGTATGTAGGTCTGTGTGGGCCCCTCTTTGATATGGGCACCGTAAAATACCGGTGCGGCCTGAGAGCTCACAGCCGCCGGGGAAAAATGGGTGCCATGTGGACGTGCGTGTGTATGTGTTTGTGTGCCTGCATGTCTGTCTGTCTGTCTGTCTGTCTGTGTGCGTGTCTGTATCTGTTTATGCGTGTGGATGAACAGCGAACGGATCGTGAACAATTACGAAACCGTGTACATGCTACTAAATCACGTGTGTGTGTTTTCGCGTAGTCGCCCCCCAAAGCCCCCCTTCCCCCCTTCCCCTCCGCCTTCTTGCCAGCCCCTTGAAACACCCTAAAACTCCCCAAGCTCCTCCAAACACACACACACACACACACCCCTACACCCCGCATACCCAACATTTCCCCCCCCTCTCCCCCCACCCCACCTCCTTAGCTTGTGAGCCCCTAAACACGTCCACCACATGCGACGCGCTCCACTTCTGACCGGCTGACCGAATCAGGTCCACGAGTTGTACGGCCATGGAGGTCAGATCGTGAGACTCGTACTGCAAACCCTGGGCCTGTGTCGTACGCCACATGACCACGGTCATCGTACGGAAGGGGGCCGACCGGAGCGGGACATGGCAGGGGACGGGGATGGGTTTGTAAGTTCGGGGTAGCAAAGCGCCGCACCACCATCACGACCCCTACTCCCCCCTCCCCCCCCCCTCTGCCACCCTGCCGCTGCCGTACCTGCCGGTGTTTGCAGTTGTCGCACGTCCCCCGGCACTGCGACGGGTCGAAGGCCTCCCCGAAGTGCTGCATCAGCAACACCCGGCGACACTCCACCTGCTCCTCAGCGAACATTATCTGAGGGGGGTTGGGGGCGGAGGAGGGCAGGGGGGGAAGGCGCAGGGAGAGGTGCATCATCTGCAGTTTTGTGCAAAAACAGGTTTTGGTAATTTAGCAATTTTAACAATTCGCGCTTTAAAAGGTACGGCACTCAAAAGGAAATGATCTAGATTGCACACCCGGGTCCAAAACACACCACCAGGGGTCGTACAGCTCCCGCACTTCCCCTCCCCTTCCCCCCCCATCCCCCGCCCCCCCCACACACACCATGGAGTTCAGCGAGTCCATGTTACATCGAAGAACCTCCGGAGGACAGTTGTTCTCCTGATTGGGGGGAGGGGGCAGAGGGACAGGAGGGAGGGGGAGGGGCAGGGGGAAAAAACACAGCTCAAGAAGGGGAGGGGGTGAGAAGGTAAGGTAGGGAGGGCCACATGATTATGGATCATCAGCCGCCAAAAGGGGAAGAAACAAAACCATAAACCACAAAAGATATTTTACCTCCCATCACGTACAATGCAACGGCGCAGTACCGTCATGCCGTACGGTATCGTACCTGCGCCGAGGTGGTCAGCATGTGCCGTGCCTTTTGTGCATCGCCGTAGTTGTAGTACAGCAGGCAAATCGCCTCCGCGCCGTCACGGCCCCCCCGGCCAGTCTCCTGCACACACAAACCCACACGACCCTTACGGCCCAGATGGATGCAGGACAACCAATTTATGACGTGTCGTACAGGTTGTTGAGGGTAACGGTCGCAGCACCAGTTTCCGTGCGTTTCCACGCGGGTGGAATCCACTGGGTGTCTGGAAAGCAGCACACGTCCTCACATACATACACACACACGCACCTGGTGGTAGCCCTCCAGGCTCTTGGGGAGCGAGAAGTGGATGACGAAGCGCACATCAGGCTTGTTGATCCCCATACCAAAGGCAATGGTAGCCACAATGACCTGTGATACATACATACATACAAACATCTACTTACAGTCTTCACCGCCCATGTAGCGGGTGGTGGTGGTGGTGGCAGCCATGGTGATGGTGGCGGTTAGGGTCACTTCAACCTGCAGCAGCACAAACAGGTCACTCTCTCCCCATTCCCACTCACTCCCTCGTACCCCACGCAATTTATCTCCCCTTCCTCCCCACCTTCCTCCCCCCACCTTCCCCCCAAACTCCCCCACCTCCCCCCAAACTCCCCCACCTCCCCCCCAAACTCCCCCCACCTCCCCCCCAAACTCCCCCAAACTCCCCCCCACCTCCCCCCCAAACTCCCCTCCCCCCCCTCCTCTCCCCCCACCTCCCCCCGGATCCCACCTGCACTTCGTCATTGCTCCAGCGGGTTTGCACCTGCTCCCTCTCATCGTGACTGAGGGCGGCGTGGTAGTGGCTGAGGAGGAGGGGGAGGACGGGGAGGGACGGGGAGGGGAGGGGAGGGGGAGGGGGGATATAAATCTGTAAAACCCAGCCACTCAGAAAACCCCAAGCACTCACCCCACCCCCTCCCCATCTTTCCCGTGACAAACACCCACACGCCTCTTCCAGCCATTCCATCCTCCCCAAACCCTTCATTGCATACAACCCCCCTACTTTCCCCCACTCCCCCACTCTCCCCCACTTCCCTAACCCCCCCGTACCCCCTCCACATATACACACACATACACACACACCACCTACGCCGCATTGAGCATTCTCCCGTTGGGTTGCCGGACCTTCCGGAGCTCCTCCGCCACCCGCTCGCACTCCCCCCGGCTCTGACAATACACAATGCCGCACTGCACTCGCTTCTTCACGCGGTCCACAAACCGCTCCAACAGCAACGTCTTCAGATCCTCCACAATGGCTTTGCTCTTACGAACGACCTCGTATCTACACACAGGCGGGCGGGGGAGAGGGGGAAGAGGGAATTTTAAGAGGGGTTTCACCTCTCCTGGATTTGTGTAACGGGCTTCATAGGTTTTAAGGATGTGTGGGATTTCGCGGTGTGGGAAGACGAACTATCGTTTTCACTACTAACCTCGAGGCGCCCGTACAGCTGAAGCTCGGTTATTGACTTATCTGTCAAGACTGGGTTGCTGCTGGTGGGGGTGGGGGTGGGGGTGATGGTGGTAGGGGGGTGAAGTCCGAGGACGGGGCCGGACCCAGCCGGACCCCACCCCAGCTCCCGCCCGCACACCCCCCGAACGAATCCACCTGAGGTTGGGGCGGTTGAAGGAGCTCTTGAATACGACACAGTCGGGAATACGGAGCTGCAGCCGTACATCAGCCTGGTGAAAGGGAAGGGGGAAGGTGTGACTAAGGGAAAGAGCGACTGAAGTACACTCACCCCGGGGCGCCTGCCACCCGTGCGAACGGATACACATGCCGTACCAGTCACGATGCCGTGTCCCCCCCCCTCCCCCTCCCCCCCCGCCCCCCTACCCCACCTGCACCCGGGGGGTGGCCGTCGCCGTGAGCGCCAGCAGCGGCACCCGCGGCCACTTGCTCTTGAACACCGCCAGCTCCCGGTAGTCAGGGCGGAAGTCGTGGCCCCACTGACTCACGCAGTGAGCCTGATTAGGCAAAGGGGGGGTCAAGGGGTAATTATTGCAAAAAACAAATGAGTCAACTGCCGATGTCCTAATCGCCAGGGGGGAATGTGGATGGGGTCGGGATGTGTTTTGTGTGTGCGGGGGGTGGGCCGGCTTGGGCGGAGGAGGCGAATGTACCACCCCTCCCGCCCCCACCTCGTCCACCACGCAGCGATCCAGCCTCCCCGCCGCCACCAGCCCGTCCAGCAACCGGACGAGGGCGTCACTGCGAGCCACCTTCTCCGGGGTCACGAACAGCAACCGCACGTCGCTGGCGCCGGAACGAATACTGCCCGAGGGGGGGGAGAGGGGGGGGGAGGGGGAAACCATATGATGGTGGTGATGATGGTGATAAAGTCAAGGAAACACAGCTCCCACAGCATCCGAGGGGGGAAAGGAGGGGAAACACGAACCACGAACGGGTGAAAAGGTGATGTCAAGGAAACACTGCTGCGGAAGATGTAAAGAAAGCAGAACTGACCAGTCGGCGGCAGTGAAGAAGCCGTCCTCGGGATGATGTAGTGATGACGACAGCGGAAAACTACCTACCTAGCCGCTAAGACTAAAATAAGAGCGGAAGAAGAGTAGTAAAGCCAAGCCGTAAAATAGTTTAGGTAGGTGTAAAGGCGGCGAAAAGCTAATAAAAAGTGACGTAAGGAGGAAAAGGGGCGAGAGGAAAGCGGGGCAAGAGCGGGAGGGGGGGAGGAAACACACAGCTGACCACAAGTGTGTGCTTTGCAAATGCCGTACGACGGGGACAAAGCGGACAACATGAATGGCACTGCGGAAGCCGAGGGCAGGAATACGAACTTCCGTACAATACCATCGTTGACCAGTACGGCCACCCACTCCCTCCCCCCTCCCCCCCCCCACACCCTCCCCACCTTTCCATTACCCCCGCCGCCTCGCTCCACTCCTGGCTGCCCCCCAGGTGGGCCGTGCCGATACCCGCCTCGCGAAGGTGGTGGATCTGGTCCTGCAGTGCGGGCGGGGGGAGGGGGGAAGGGGGGAAGGGGGGAGAGGATCGGAATGTTAGGGGAGAAGGACGGTAAAAACACACCGCCGGCAAATAAAGAAAGAGAGGGATGTGATGCGTACTCCCATTTGTACTCCCATTTCGCAGTTGAAAAACTCCTTTCCCCCCCTCCCCCTTCCCCCTCCCCCCCTCTGCGCACCTGTATCAGCGACACCAGCGGCGACACCACCACCGTCACCCCGCTGTCGCTCATCAGCGCGGGCAGCTGGTAGCACAGGCTCTTGCCCCCGCCCGTGGGCATCAACACGAACACGTCACGGCCGTCCAACGTGGCGTTGATGATGGCTTCCTGGGAGGTGTCGCCACATGATCTGTGTGGGCGTGTGTGCGCGTGTGCGTGCGGGCGTGTGGGTATGTGTTGGGGAGGGGGAGGGGGGGATGGGAGAGAAACACATGCATACATACAAACAAACACAAGGGCTTATTAAATGATGCGTACGTTTCAGGCGGTTGTTTGTGGTGTTGGGGTGGGGGCAGTGGCTGCTGTACAGCGACCACGGGGAATACCCGGGGGGGGGAAGGGCGCGGGGATTCACCCTATGAAATGGGGGGAGCGGGAGGGAGACCCGCACCTGAAGCCCTTGTTTCCAAACACCCGCAAATTGGTAGCCCGCAGTTTGGCGGTCCAGGGGAACGTGCCACGCCACTTGCGATCTGTCGTACCGTCGTGCACGTCGTACTTTCCAGGGCTGGCCGGTACACCTGGCGCCCGAGCGCGCAGAGAGGGGTCTGGGGGACGTGGTCCCGGGTCGTCATTGAAATACGTTCCACCACCACTACCGCCAATTCCGTTTCCGAAACCATTCCCAAAGCTGCCTCCGCCGTACGCCCCGCCAAAGGTACCTCCACCGCCTCCACCGTAAGCGCCGCTGCGATGCGGCACGTCGCCTCCACTTCCCCCGCTGCCATATGCCCCACCGCCGCCGCCGCCGCCGTACGCGCCACCGCCTCCACCCATGCCCCCGCCAGCAGCAGCGCGGTTCTGGTGCGAGGCGACAATCGCATCCACGTCGATGTACGGCAGGTCATCTTCAAGCGACTCTTCTTCGCCATCGTCAACACCACCGTTGCCCTGACCACCACTACCGCCAATACCCCCACCTCTTTCTCGCTGATTTCCGGCATAAGGCCCCCTGCCCGGGAGGCCCCCTCCGCCGCGGTCGCTGGCACCAGGGAATTGCTGCGGCTGCGAGTTTTGCGGGGGGGTGGGTCGGGGCTGTGTCGGCTGCTGCTGCTGCATCTGCACCTGCACACCGGCCTGTGGCTGCTGCTGCTTCTGCAGGCTGCTGTTGTTGTTGCTGCTGTAATTACTGGGATGGTTGCTAGGTGGATAGGTTTGTTGGGAGTTGTTGGTTGGTTGGTTGGTAGTTACCGCTCCGGGGCCGGGGGGAGGGCCTTGCCAGGAGCGAGGTGGCGGTCCGGACCCGGGGGCAGCAAGTGACCTGGGACGTGGAGGTGGTCGGGAGTCACAGAGTCTGATTACACCACATGCTATCGAGTACGGTAATAATGTTGTACAGATGGCGTACAACATAATCAAAGGGCCTAATTTGGTTGGCAGCACCAGACGATTGGGTTGGAAGGGGGGGGCTGATACTGTGGCGGTGTTGGAGTGTATCACCTAGGCGGTATTTCATGGGACTAGCTCAAGCAGTGCCCTACATGATGTACGGCACTTCCAGACAGTCCCCTGCTTGCCCCACCATTACACTCTCCTCTCTCATACCAAATAGGCATACATACATATCTACATACATACATATCTACATATCTACATACAAACTGCCAGACGGACATGCAAGACCGACAGACCGAAGTGTGCCACTCCACAACAGAACGGCCACTCGCCCGACCGACAGTGCCCGATGACACTCACCCCCCCGGTGCTGCTGCTGCTGCTGCCGCCGCCGGTTGCTGCTGCTGCTGTGCAGAAGACTGAGCGGTCGGTGGCGGCACGTAGGTGATCGGGGGTATGGGTGAGCGACCCGTATTGCTGAACTTGGTGAGAACATCGAGAGCCTGTTAATGATAGTGATGGAGATGGTGGTGCAAAGGGATAAGGGAAGTTCAGTCCGATGGTTTAAAAGGGAGGCTGGCTGGCTGGGTGAGGGGGACGCAGGGGAGCAAGGGGCGCGTGGGTGAATTCTGTAACGGGTTTTTTGAGGGCAACCCACATCCATATGCACGATGATATTCATATTTGAGGCGATTGGTTTGTAAGAAAGAAGTCGCGTGTGCTGCAAGCTGCAAGCGCCGCCACCTTTCTCGACCGAGCTTTGGCACTGGGCTTTGTATTACATTTGTGCTGTACTTGCCTTCTTCACATAGGAGGGATGGGTTCCGGAGCCCAAAGGTGCGTCAATCCTGGATGATGAAGGCGCGTTGACAGGATGGAGAGGTTTTAGCTAAGCATGAATGTGAACAAAACTGGGTTTTGTGGGAGAGGGCCAGCCAGTGATGGTAGAGCAGCAGGGAGCTCACCCAGAGCTCCGCCTTAGCGCATGTGTGTTCTGGCTGGGTAGGCAGTAGAGGAAGCCCCAGTCCCTGGAGGGCGCTGACCGCTGTTGGCCCACGGGAGGCGTCATGGACGACCAAGACTTGGCAGCTAGCACAGCAAACTTTCAGTTTCTCCAGTTAGTCCCGTTACTAATCACGAAGTGTGGCTTTCAGGACTGCATTTCGGTCGCTGCAATCAACATATTATATAATACAGCTTTAGGGCTCGCGCTGGAACTTTTGCTTTGTCGTGCAATACTGAACGCAGCAATAAATGAACAGAAGTATAAGAGTGCGGGAAAATGAACGCCAGTCAGTGGAATAGCCTGATTTCCCGCCGGTTCCGGAGCTAAGGTCCGAGCACACATTCACGGGGTTCTTACATTCACTCAATTAAAAAATTAACTTCAATGTATTTTACTTACGCGACAACCAGCTCGAGCCTTTGCTCTTAAAGCGGCACCATCCATCAGTCCTTCGCATAACAGACTGTGAAAATGTAACTTCTCTATGGTGCTTCGCAAGCTGCGTTTCCTGAGTAATAGGAACATGGAAGTGAGGGTTCGCTTAGCCAAGCCCTCGACCGTTGCATAGTCAGGAAAAAACTCTCGGGGTCATGCCTTCCGTCCAGGCCCATCTTCCCTCCGTCAGTTCGGTCAGTTTTCAAGGCAGCGTCGTCGACTCGCATCCTAAGCTTGCACCTTCTGCCGAGAACGCGCTCGAGCCTGCAGACCTCCTCGAGCCTTCCCTAAACGTCTCCTTAGAGTTTGGAGTCTTGGACCAAGGCTCTTCCCGTGGCTTGCCTCCAGGACATCGCCGCGGCGCATCCAAATCTCAAATCGAGAAGTCTAAACCAGAAAACCGCAAGCCGGCGGCCTGGCCGCCCGCGTTGCCACCTACGGTAATCCTCCATCTCCCCGGCTCCATGCCAAGTCCTGAGCAATCTCCCACGTCCGGACCAGCAGTAGCTCCTCCACCGGGTCTGGGCCAAGATGCAATTAACAAAACAGCAACAACAACAGAATCAGCAAAAGCAGCAGTCTCGCCTTGTCGCATGTCTCACCTCCTGGGGAAAAGCGACGCAACTGGGGCAAGGGCTGTGTCAGCTCGACGTGCGTACACCTTCTCCCCCTCCCGCGCCTTCTCCTACCGGTCCTCATCCCCCGTCATCCCAATCACGGACCTCATACCTAACAGCGATCCACATGTGGTGAAAAGTAACCCAGATGGTCCTTCACAACCAGCCAAAAACAAAAGCACTTACAATGCCTTTACGGGCAATTCGACCGTTGGCTCCTTCATTCTCGCTCGCCCGCTCCTCCCCAGCAAGGAGATAGAACTAGCAGGGCCACAGGTGCAGGCACAGCAAGATCATGGGGCGCAGGGCGTTGAAATGCAGCATGTTCATAAACTGCGAACAGGCGGTCATCGGGAAACGGAGATCACCACAGCAGCACACGCAGACGCAGACGCGGCTTCTCCAACAGCCGGTAGCATTCCCCCTCCCAGCAGCTCCAGCTGCAGAGATGGCGACAGCATTACAAATGGCGTTGTTAGCGGCCTCAGCAGCGGCAGTGGCGGCATGTTCGACTCCAGGGACACCAAGACAATAAATCGCTGCATGGCAGCCCACCGGCGTTTGGAGGAGGATCAAAAGCGGTGCTTGCGGCTGTCTGTGGCGGCGGGTATGAAATTGGAGCTTGACAGCCAGGCAGCTAAGAAGCGGGTGAGGGAGGGGGGGAAAGACGATCAGGGGCCATAGGGAACATAGTAGATCCGTACAGGTAACCCCTTCAGGCTGCCTTGCTGGCCGCTGCTTACTGTCGCCTGTTTACCGACCTACCTACTTGCTCGCACATTCCCTGCCTTTCTGCCTGCCTGGTTGCTGCTGCTGCTGCTGCTGCTGCTGCAGGCTGCAGCGCAAATGCGACAGCATGGGACTATGAATTCAGGTTGATGCCCATAAGTATATCTATATATGCACTACGACACAATGTGAAGTATTTTACATGTGTCGGCAATGCGGGGTCAGCATCCTTAGTAGGGCTATGTACAAAGGACGCATCTAGGACTGAAGGGACACGGATAGGTTGGATTAGATTTTTCTGGCCAGTGCATGTAGGGTTACATGGCTACTGCTATCTTAGGCTGCTGCTACTATGCCAGTATCTGAACTGGATGAGAACAAGGGCTCCTAGTAAGGGAGCAGGGCTGGTGTGGCTCACTTACACTACTAAGCTGTGTTGCCTGTATAGGCCATTGCACCAGATGCTGATGCGTTTAGCTTAGGGTGTTGGGAGCTGGAAGTTAACTAATAGGCCTAATGGCCACGAGCATGCTGCATGCTGCATGTACCTGCAGCCTTGGTGATTGCGGAGTGGTCGCTGGCAAGCTGCCTGTGTTTGTGAATGCCCACCGGCCTATGGGGGCCTCCGAGTATAATACTATGGGGCATTGGCTTCCAAGGGCGCGAAGTGGGTACCACCATGGCAGCAGCCCTCCATTGCTGTGGCTGGTTTGCTCTTGGAGATCTAGGAGACCAGGCATGTCGTGCACAGGGCTGTCAAGCCCCGGTGAGCAGGAGGGGATATCAACATCCCCATCATCAATGGGTACTGCAATGGTGGCTATTTATTGACTGTCCCGAGACCCCCCCTTCAGGCTTTTATGGGTGCCCCCACCAGTTGTGCGGAACTTGTAGAACTTGTGACTTGTACTATTGGGCAGAGATATGTCCACTGGGTGCGGCTCGGGGGATGCTGTCAGGTTTCAGGTCGCCTCATCACGCCAACAATCTCATTGACCCTGGGCACCTAGGTGTCGTACCCTGGGCTGGGCATATCACGGGATTCTGGCATCAGCCGATCGGTACTTTTCTGAAGTCATGATACAACACATGACTACATGCGTATGTGTGCATGTGTGTGCGTATGTACCCTGCGTACCTCGAGTAACACTCTGGTCGTGTGCAAGGTAAGATGCACGGGTGTGCACATGTCCTTATGATGGTGATGGTGACCACCTGTGCTGTGTTGCCATATCTGGCGTGTGTGGGCATGCTGTATTCAAGAAGAGGTCTATGTGGAATATGGTCGCTCCTGGTTTGGGTTGTATAAGGGTGACTTGTGGCCTGGCGGACATATGCATATGTCTGCCAGGGGCACGGGCGCATGATTCTGGAGCAGACTGCAGCGGTTTTCCCAAAGCAGCTGACCTGCAGTGCGGCTTCAAGCTGATGTATAATTTTGGTACTGAGTGTGGTACGAGCTGGGAAGGTAGAAGTAGTAGAGGGGTTCTAGAAGACGAGCAGCTGTTTCTGGAAGGCGAGCAGCTGTCCGTATTTTTTATTGTGATGTGCGTATGTGTGTGTGGTTGCACTTGATTGTGGTTCATGTGTGTTCTAGGCCTAGGGTATTTGAGTTATGCGAGGAGCACTGCGGATTATAGTCCCCCATTTTGGAGTGGGGCTCTTGGCATGCAAGTTTGCTGGGCCATTACCATCAAGGATCGCCATGCTCACTCAAGCCTCTGGGGGGTTCACTTCGGGCTTGTCAGATCCACTATGAAGTCATTCTTTCATGTGAATGCACATGTGAGGCTGTTATACTGCAATTCAGTTGGATGGCGTGAAGTTGTGAGTGAAGTATTTATTTGCATGCTCTGTTGGGATGTACAACAAGAGCACTGCTGCTTTGTGTGTATACGTATTCCGGTCGACACACAGACATACATACACACACAGACACATACAGAAACGAATGATTAAAACACCATTTTCTCAGATACATGACAATACTTGGATGAGGCCATCAATTCTCGGATTTCTGAGGCCAATATGTGTAAAAGAACCATGTCTACTGGCACAAGTTCTTTTCTATTTCCACGCAAAATATCATTAAAATTTTCTTCACCGTTATATATTGTGTTTTGCACAGGTTACCTTGCAGGGACCTGTCCCCTTGGTCACGAAGGTGTGGGGTGTCCCCTGCGGATCCCACACGGGTGAGGTAGGAAGGTTGCAGGTGGGGCCAGGAGTTTGTCCACCGGAGGGGGCCATGGAACGGCTGGAGAATACCCAACCGTTATACCACCTCTGGCAGGGTCAACGTCCTGGCTTCCAAAGTTGTTTGTTGAGGGTGTGAAAGGTCAAGACTGTGAGGTGAGTGAGTGTGTCCATCCCTCAATGAACACCCAACACAGCAGTCCAGCAGCACATGTCAGGACCTGTCAGCAAAGAATCATTTCGGCATTGTGGATGTGCGACACAACATATATGTGTTCTGTCTCCTTGTTAGAAACCGCCAGCGCCTTGGGAAAGTTGGCTGTTGTGCAGCGAGTGCCGTGGTTGTGGTGCTGAGTCACCTAAATGCATAAGGAGACCAGAATTCCGTCACTGGTGGCGCATTGCAGTTGGGTCGACTTACGTTGTGAGCTATCAAGCGAGTGAAATCATGGATGAGAACTGCTGGTGCAGAAGCTGCGCGACACCGTGCATATATCGGCGCAAGAGCAGCACAAGCGACCCATCATGTCGTGTAATTATGTGGCCATATGGTAACATTACCTTGCAAACGCAGGTGGGATAAAACTGTTGGAGTAATCATATGGAGGTTTGGCCTTGTTAGGCAGCCCCTCGCTCAAATGCACCGCTGCAAGAGTGAGAGCTGCATTCACCAGGCTGTACTGCTTCACCGGGCTGTGCCCCCCACGAATGGTTGCATTATGATTGTGAGAGCCTACCTGGTTACTTAGACGGATTTAGCGACTACTCCACTATGAAGGTGTTGATAAACACCGGGGGTTTCCCGTGGGGTTTTATAGTCGCTTGCAGTCCGTCTGAGGAGCTCGGGATAAGATGCCGTACAATAGTAGATATTCCCGCAGAAGAGAGTCGCACCTTCCAGAGGAGAGTTAAGTTACAGGTTTGGCCGTGAACGGGCAGACGTGTGCAAGATTCGAGTATGTGTACGGATCGTTACAGCCATAGCCGTAGCCATGTACTGCTTAGTATGGCTATAGTCAAAAGATGACTAAGTTGTATGTACTGTGTGTACGATATTCGCCTCGACGATGGAATGATAAGAAGGAATGGAGTCCCTACTCGGAAATATCTTAAGTCCTAAGCCAGGCTCTTACAATGATCCCCTCTTCTGCTGCCCCTCCACTTCACTCCAATCAGGCCATCTGTGTGTGTGGGTGCATTCCCGTACTACAGGGAGTACCTGCAAACCACCCAATACGAGCCAAGGGCTCAAGGGCTGCCAGGTCACCCATAAGCACTTCAGACAAAGCAAGTGATAGAGGAGACTAACGACCAATGGGAACGATAGAGTTGTGGTGGGACCACATACGTTCCAGGATCCTTGACAGGCGTTCAGGTTCCCACTTCCCAAGCAGGCGTCTATCGTAAACCCTCCCCATCATCCCCTTGCAGCTCCCCGCCGTCTTCAATCTTCCTCTCCCTCACAGGAATTCGCTTCTGTTTACTTGCCTTGCTTAATATGCACGTCTGCTACTGTTGTAGACCCCCTTGGCTCGTCCCAACAGCTACTTCGGCGCTATGCTCTCAATCCAGGCATGGACAGCGACAGCATTTTCATCCCTCAAACTTTTATTTTTTCTGGTCTTGGCCCGGCTCCTGGCCTCCTCCCAGTCCACCGGGCAACCCTCGGCGCGCAGCCACTGAAGGACCTCTACGGTACTGCCCCTGTGAAGGGTCTCTAGGGTAATGCCATAGTCCTTGTCGTACACCGCTCGGCTGAAGACGCCGGGGCCCCAGGGGCAGCCCAGCCGCCTCAGGCAACGCAGAATGACCAGGTCTTGATAGTGTGCTGCCGTTATGTAAAGCTCACCATCATCCTGCAACATAGCAACGAGCGAGGCTTATGAAGATGGTTCCCGAGAAAATGGCCATAATAGATGGCGGCTGAAAAGGCCTCTCAAGATGCTGGAAATGTGCTCCCAGCATGTGTATGAATTGACTGCGTGCGCCAGAGTGTACGATCACTACTACATTCCGAATACATAAATGCAGACCATCAGACAGTGAAATGGAAACCTAGGGACAGGTCCTTCACCATCCAGTCCAGAGCTCAGCAGCAGAAATGATGCAGACATGATGAAAGCCAAGAATGAGAGGTCCTTCACATCGAAATCGGCCAAGTCACCAGCAGACGCCAGACAGTGCGTGGCATACATTCAGTGATGAGCAGTAGAGCTGAGCAGCACCAGCAGCACGCATCAAGAACATGCACAGAAGTCATGCAAGCGAGCCACTCACCCCCATGGGGACGCCCCGGGCCACAAGCCACTCCAATACTGCTGGACTGCCTGCCATCACCGCTGCACTAAGAAGCTTCTCTCCACTCCAGGGCAAGGCTAGATCATTTAGCAGCCATTCCATGACCTCCACACTACCAGACAATGTTGCATATCTCAACAGAGCCTGGTACTGCTGCATGATCTCCTGGATGAGCTCTGGACCACCACATGCATACATCCATTTAAGAATGTGCAGGTGACCGTGCTCTGCAGCATCCATTGCAGTCCGCACAGAAAGCCGCCAGCCCAAGGTCACCAGCTCGACCAGCAGCACCATGTTGCCGGCACGGGCTGCTACTGATACTGCATCCTTCGTGCGCTCTGGAAGCCAGTCCCTCCCCGCTCGCAAGTAGCGTATCAGGGACAGGTTATCAACACGTGCGGCGCTAATGAGGATATGTACTACGACATCCTTTTCCTCTACCTCCATAAGCAGCCGCTGTGCCCGCTCCACAGCATCCGGAAGTCTGGCAAGGGCCTCCCAACTGAAGAACTCAATGCTGTGGAAGCGATACCCCAGAGTCTGCAGCCACTCCACCTTGGCCCGCCAGTCGGGGGTGGGGCTCACCAGAGCCTCCGCAAGGGTGTAGCCAATTAGTAGGCTGCTGGCATCGTCACCAAAATCATCGTCAAAATCACCACCATACCTCCTGTACAGGTGCTGCAATGCCGCCAGGTCGAAGCCATATGCAGCTTCCTTGACAATATCGGCCATGAGTCCCGACACTGACCTAAATTCTGACTCAAGCTGAAGGAGCCTGTGTGTGAGGCCCACATGGCCACCGCGGGCGGCACCAGGAAGACACCTCCAGTGTTTCAACGGAGTACCGTCCTCCAGGAGCCCCTCACACACAGTCTGATGACCGGCACAGGCGGCTGCTATAAATGCTTGGGAACCGGCTCTCCGTAGCTCTCGAAAATCACGCTCCTGTTGCAGTAGCCACCGGACCGTTTCCAGATGGCCACCTCGGGCAGCTGCTGCTGCCGCTTGCTCAGAAAGGAAGAAGCAGTCTTTTCCCTGCAGCCACTGGCACATCTCAATATTGCCGCCCTCGGCTGCTGCGTTGGAGACCTTCCAGGAGAGCTCGCAGCTCGCTGCCTTGACGGCGACCTGCAGGTTGGCCAGGCTGCCGCTGCGGGCCGTCAGGACTACGAGCTCTCGGCGCTTACTTCGTGTGAGGTTGTGAACTGCCTCCGGGAGGCTCCAGTGCCTGTTGAACGCGTGATGGGGTACGGGCTGCGACAGCCGGATAGCTACTTTTTCCCGAAACTGGCTCGCCATGGCCTTATTGATTTCCTTGACGGTACATACCACCTCGTTTGGATCCAGGAAGCTAACAACACGCTCGACAAGGTCCGCCGTTAAATTATCCCAACTGTGACCTTTCTCAGGATTCATGTTTTCAATCTAAAAAGGAAAAAGACAAGTTGACAAGCTCGATAATTTCAACGTCTGAGATAGTGGTCTTTTAAGCAGTACGCGGTTTGTTACAGCGGACCCCGAGTGCATCAGGTGCGTGCGCACAAAATCTCACTTGCGCGCCACAGGGTGGTGTGGCTCAAAACAACTTACACCACCACAAGTGGGAGAAGAAAAAACACATGCATTCCTACCCACAAAAATGCGCGTTCCTCCACAATAGCTTTTGTGTAAAAGATGTTAAAAAGAGTCCCCCACGGCACCTCTCTCCAGCCCTCCACAGCTGGACGACTCTGCGCCCTCTGTCCTATAAAAAGAGTCTAAACGTACCCCACATCCCATACCACATTGCATGCATCCGACGTGTATCATGTTTTGGACGTATTGCAAATGCATCCCCCTTAACCCCGGCGTCGTCGAGACATTCTGACACATTCGGATATTGTGTCCTCCAAATGAATCAGGGCGGCGTGTGGTGGCGTCACGTGGCGTGTTTGAAAAAACAACTGACCCCCAGAGGCTGTGTGGTGAGACGAAACGACACAGCAAGAGCGCCTCACCCATGTGTTGTGCACAACATCCTAACAATCAAAAACCCCGCACACGACACAACACCTGCCACTGCCCATCCGGGACTCTGGGGTTGTCTCTCCAGAAGTTAAATAAATTACAGGCTTGATGGCGGGTTTTAGCGTGCCGCGCGTTTGTGTGCCTCTGCAGGTTGTGTGTGTGACTCTCCTATGAATGTCCAGTCAAACGAACGGGGGAGCCACCGGCTAAATAACTTAAATACGACAGGGACCCTGGGGGATTCCGGCCCCATAGAGCCGTGTGGCTGTTTTGTCCTCCGGGGTGTGAAAGAAGGGAGACATGCATGGCGCGCCATCCCTCCCTCCCTCCACCCTTCCATCCTTTCACCCTCCCTCCCTCCCTCCACCCCCCACCCTCCACAATACCTTTTCTCACTCTTATTCCGCCCTCCCAAAGTCATCCTCCCTTCCCCTCCCATCTGCCCTCCCTTCTGCCCTTCAGTGCCTTCTCCTCTGCTGTCCCCTGCTCTCCCTTGCCCTTCCCTCCGTCCTTTGTGTTTGTTTGTGTGTGTGCCCTCTGCCCGTGTGCTCATGTGTTTACGGACATATGTGTGTATGTTGTGTATGTAACATGGGTCATAACACTTGGGGACACCTGGGAATTGAACCCAGACCCACAAGAAGGTGGGTGGCACCTCTGCCCTGTTCCGATTCCCGCCCCACCCCGCGCCTGCACTGCCCTGAACCGCCCTGCCCAGCGCAGCAAAGCCCTCCCCTGCGCCGCCCAGCGCAGCGCCGCCCTCCCCTGCGCCGCCCAGCGCAACGACG